AGGTTATTTTTGTTCTTCTTAGGAGGTATTTAATTCGGACATTAATTGCTGCTGCGTGCCCTTGTGGGTGCGCCCCACAGTGCAGAGATGGGATGGAAATGCATCTAGGAGATGGTGGTTCTGGGGCACACAGCTGAGACACTGATGTACCGCCAGCTCTAGAAAAGAGAAAAGGCTTCCTACATGGGAGAGGCTTCAAGTTAGATGATCAATTTCTCCTGTTTCTTAGCACCCTGGATATCCACACCTCTGGCTCGTCTGCAAATGAAGATTAATTTACAATTTACATGTACGAGCTGTGTTTATTGCTCCAGCACACAGCCATCTAGGCTGGCCTGCGCTGGATAGAAATAGTACTACAAAATGTCCGTATGGCTCAGGGTCCCCTCGGAAAAAGACGGCACATGCACACCGGGCAACCGAAGGAGCTCAATAAGGGGATTATTTACACACATTTGGACAGGGTACAGAGAGATCAACAAGTAAGGAGAGGGACTCACAGCCAGGAGCCCCAGGCTGGAAGCATCCAGGGGAGGGACTGGTTATCAGAACCCAGAGACAGCAGCTTTAGGGAAAGGTCCCTCCCAGGAGAGCGGGTCTTTCAGGAGGGGGCACAGCCAACCCAGGAATCCTTTGGCCTCGCAATGCAGGCCACACAGATGAGCCTTCTGGGGTGCACAGGCCGGTAGAGAAGGAGAGGGAACATGCCTGAGGGCAGACGGAAGATACCCTGCAAGGTGTCCGACGAGGACCTGGAAGACAGCTTCAACACCAACGAATAAACCAGCCCTCTGACACAGCCACACAACACCACACTGTGCCTTCCACAACTCAGGTCTGAATCCAGGTCTTATGGATGTTGCCATAACTGGTAAGACAGAAATTATAAATCGGTAAATATACTCAGACCCCAAATTTGGATACACGTCAAATGTTAACAGAGGCTAGCCTGTAGAGAGATGTAGGTGATTTTCCCATTCCTAATCTATATATTTTTAAAGTTGTACTGATGGACAGCTGTCCAGTTTACCTTCTGTTATGCCCCTATTCTATTAGGCATCACCAAGATAACAAGGAGTGCTTTGATTTTTGACTGGTGAACAGAAAAAGCATCTACTGAAGCTTGGATTTTGATCTCCTCTTAGACGGAGCACTTTTCAAAGTAAATTCTATTTTTTTTTTTTTTTTTTGCTACGAAAAATCTAATGGAAACTAGGGAGATATCCTAGTGTCATAATGGATGCCATCTCAGAGGTTCTCCTTAATCAGGCCAACTTTCCGAAGTCCTCTCGTTCTGGGGAATCACCAAGGGCGGCACGAAGCACCTGTAAGGAGCGGTCTGTACTTGGAAAAAGCAACTCCCAGTCTGCCAGCTATGCACGTCCCCCAGCTACAGAACAACAGCCCTGACAAGCAGCCCATCAACTAGCCACCGTTGGCCATGATATAGAAGAATACATTTGAAAAATAAACAGTAGAGAGAGCCACAGATTTCGCTCCAACTTCTCTCCTCTCCCAGAGTTAGCAGGAAGCTTCATGAATTTCTCAAAGAGCAAAGCGGGGGTGGGGTGGGTTGGGGTGGGGTGGGGCTACTGCCCTCCCTTCCCGGCTGGGTAGGCTCTTCTGTCCCTGGGGTGGGCCAGGGTCATGCAGGACCTCACCAGGCTTACCTATCACCTTGCCAGCACCAGACAAACCCCCCAAAGTTCTGTCTTTCTTAAGTTCTGAAGACACTCTGTGCCTCAGTTCCCATTCTCCAAAGCTCCAGGCACAATAATAATGGGAATAGTTACCATTTATTCAATACTTATGCATAGTAGGGACTGGGCTAGGCACTTAAACGTATGTCTAACCAGTAAAAAAACAAAAAACAAAAACAAAAACAAAAAAACCACGCCTCGGAAACACAGACCTGACTGCCTGTTTCACAAGTACCACTAACAATGCCGAGGCTTCCCAAGGCCACTCCTATGACGAGGAGGAGTGGATGGTGGAACCGGGGCTGGAACTGGGTCTGCTGACTCTGGAGCCTGAGCCCTGCGTGTTAGCCTGCACTGCCTTCTAGGAGCGGCCTGGCAGACTGGCCCGCATGTCCATCTGCACCGAGATCACAGCTGCCCAGGCCCCACAGTGAGGAGCTGAGCTGGACCCAAGCTCCTTCAGAGCAGCTTTCCCCAATCTCCTGGGGATCAAGTGATGACAAAGAAAAGAAATCAAGCGCAAATTACGGCACAGCAGCCTTCAGGCACCTGTCAGGGGTGGGGTGGGGAGCAGCCATTAACTAATGACCGTTCTGGCAAAGTCTGCCAAAGGCCTGGGTCTAGGGCCAACCACTGGGGGAAACACTTCTGAAGTTTCTCTTTCGACAGAGGTAACCACGAAAACCATGTATAATATGACTCAAAAATGATGATGAAGGATCATGCATGAAGGGTCCTGTGAATCATCTCCAAACCAGCAAATCTTGATCTTCTGAATTCCTTCCAATAAGGGCTCAGTTCCCTTAGGTTTTCGAATCTAAAGTGCAACAGTGCTTCCAGTCTTTCAGTCACATCACAGACTGGCCCAGGACACCCAGACCTCAAGCAGCCCCGGGGTTCACGGTAGCCACCCGCAAGCTCTACCTGCAACAAAACAGGAGCATATGAACCTCCTGTAGCTAAGGGGCCAAGAGACAACTAGTGCGTTAGCCTGAACAGCCCACTTCAATGATGCTGGGCCGTGCTTCAGTGACTTTGTGTTTCTCCTCCGGGAGGAAATGGGGGAGGCCATGGGACGGACGGGCTGGCCGTGATGTGTGTTAACAGAGCATGGAAATCCTGTGACCAATCACCTGGCACTATCGACCTCTTGGGTGCAAGGTTCGCTGGGGAGATGGAACCAAAAAGAAGAGGTAATTCATTAGACCAGTAAAGCTGTCTGCCAGTCCATTTGAAGGATTCTGAGATACTGCCTTGCTATCAAACCAAACACTCACTTCTCAGCCTCGTGTTCAGTCCATTATGTGATCCCAATCTCTCTACCCTCTTTTGAAGATTTTGTATCTTAAGCAATCTTCATACCCAACGTGGGGCTCAAAGTTAAAACCCTGAGATCAAGAGTCACACACTCCACTGACTGAGCCAGCCAGGCGGCCCCCTCCCCGCACAGTTATTCCTTAAGCTCCCCTATACGAATTCTACCTACAGAAACCAAATGACCTAAGCTTCTCCAGTTCCACAACTTCCCTCACACTATTCTCTTCACAAGTGCCCCTTCTTCATCCCCTAGCTTAAATCTGGTTTTCCCCAAAACATTTGGTTCTTCCATTCCAAGTCTCTGGGATCTCTCCTGAAGTCCCCTCCCACTCTCCATCTCTACCCTCCCCACCCCCACCGATGTTTTTCCTCCATCCGCCCCCTCCTCCCATTTCAGAGCTCACAGCACTTCTCTTACTTGTGAACTGCCTCATCCTATCCTTGACTGTAAATGAGTAAAACTCTGTGTTGTGGTTGTTTTTTTTTAAAGATTTTATTTATTTATTTGACAGAGAGAGAAAGATCATGAGTAGGCAGAGAGGCAGGCAGAGAGAGGGGGAAGCAGGCTCCCCGCTGAGCAGAGAGCCGGATGCAGGGCTCGATCCCAGGACCCTGAGATCAGGGCTCAATCCCAGAACCCTGAGATCATGGCTTGAGCCGAAGGCAGAGGCTTAACCCACTGAGCCACCAGGTGCCCCATATGTTGTGTGTTTTGAAAAGCAAAGGCAAAGCACACGTTCCTACAAACACACAGACCCTAGTGGGTAGTCTCCCACGGGCCAGGAGCTCTGTCACTCAAACTGATTTTCCTTTAAGTGGTCTAGCATCTAATCCAGGCTCACCCACTCCATCTTGGTTTCTAAACCAGTAAAAAGTGAAAACTTTCTACTGCACAGAATTCTTCGGTCTGACTACACAAGAATTCTTAAGCTCATCTTATCTGGAGATAAGAGCGCTGTAGGAATTGCCTCCACCCCGTTCCCACGCCTGGAATGGGATTCACTTTGGTTTCTATAACTTTGCAGCTGCAACCTGAGTAGACTTGGGTATGGCATTTAGTCTACAGATCACTCAAACAGGCATGTCAGCTGCACTGTTCCCCTCCTCTTCGTGAGCTAAATTCATCTCTTGAAAATGTTCCTGGGAGACAGACCCAGTTCCCTTCAAAGGCAGCTCTCTCTCCACAAGAAGCCTGCAAGGGTAGCACTTTAACATTCTCTGGGTGTTTACCAATCTTTGAGAAACACATTCTTGTGCCCAGCAAGACATGTCACAGGTCACTGAAAAATATTCGGGTACATATTTTTAACTATTCTAGAACAATGGTTATGCAAGTTAACCTGGGCCTCAGACTCCCAATGTTCTCTCTTCTTTAATCTCTCTGTTTTTCCAACCACCTAGCCCTCTGCCTCACCAGCCCGGGAATGTGGGCCAGGCGGAATGCTTCTGCTGGGAGAGGCATTTGGTCTTCCAGGGGAATGCAGCAGGAACAGCCACGGAGGAGCAGAGAACAGAAAAACCCCCTCTGATCCCCTTTCAGCAGCTTCTCCCAAAGACCACCCACTGACCCTCTCCTAGCTGACCCTGGGTCTTCCCTCTTCCTCCTGAAGACGCAAAGTTTTCTGGCTCTTTGTAAGAATCTCCAGGGTAAGCACAACTCCCTGGATAGTGGCTAAGGGGATCCAAATATTTCCAAGCAGCATGTCATTTCTAGGAACTGCCTCTCCCTCAGAACAGCTCTGCTTGGGGCCACCACCCTCCAGTTTAACCATGAAGGGACTTCTCCTCTGCCATCTGGGCAATGAGATCCCCTGCCTGGCAACTTGGGGCTTGCCTCGTCATGGCTGTCAGAAACACTCTGGTCACAGTGAGAAGGAACCAGGGTAAGCCTGGCCCACAAGTCCTGGTCCCAGGAGTCGGCGCACAGGGGAGCCGTGGTGGGCTGTGGCCAGCCCAGCTCCCTCTGACATCACGTGGCCTTACCTCATCCCACTCTGAGGCAAAGGAGGGCGACTTCTCCAGCCTCTTCTTCCCGATGCTGCAGTTGGACAAGGACTCGCTCCGGCTCCCCATTGTAGTGTCCTCCGTGGGTGAGCAGGTCAGGAGATCAGAGTCAGACTTGGACAAGCTGCGGCTGAGTTTGAGTTCAGCTTTGGGTTTGCTGGTGGGAGGGGCTCGGCTCCTAGCCCCACTCCGGTCTCTTTCTTCCTCAGCACCACCAGGGTGTTGAGATGCCGTGTGAGTCAAAGTTTCGGGGTGCGATTGGCTGTTGGTGGTGGGCAGGCCAGCCGAGTAACCTGCTCTCTTACTCTGGTCCAGGACACTGGGCAGGGAGGCTCCAGGAGCGTGCACACCCATCTCCTCCAGCTGCATGCTGGCCTCGTGACAGGCGCCCTGTGTGGGGGACCCTTCTGGATGGCTCTGGCCAGGGGCAGAGAGCAGCTGGAAAGGGTCCTGCCCCACCTCACACACCGGGGAGGAGCCGTGGAGGAGACCTGAGAACTGCTCTGGGACCTGCCCGTCCTGCCCCTCTGCAGAGTCCTGGCTCCGGCTGCTGCTGCTCCGCCTGTGGTCTTGGAGTGGACGGAGAGACAGAGAAATAAAAAATTAAACGTGGCAAAAATCAACAAAGTTCCAATGCAGTGAGCGGACGGCAGGGCTGAGGAATTCAACAACAGAGAAAGAGAGAGAAGCAAGCTGGACAGGCTGGAGAGAGGGCAGAGGGAGAGAAGAGAGAGGAAGGAAGAAAACAATTTCGTATTGTTCTTAATGTTCAATTTGTACCCAAAGTCAGAGCATTTATGAAATTCCAAACACTGGCCTGATTAATGCTATCTGGCAGCCTTCCCTGTTGTTAGGTTTCTGTTAATGTTAACGACCAGACCTTGCTATATAAGGCGAGAAGTGCTAACTATATCCTACAGAAAGGACACGAGTAAGGAGACAGCAAACACCGAGTAAAAGTGAGAAAGAGAGAGAGAGAGAGAGGGAGAGAGAGAAAGCGAGCCAGCGAGCAGGCGAGACTCACTCCTGGAACATCTGATACATTTCCATAAAGGCCAAAGTGTTATTTAGAGCCACCCACCCCCCCCTTCCTCTGGCAAGCAGCAACAGAAGGGGAAAAAAATGGAGGTCATGATCCACAACCTGCAACTTCTGGAATTCTTTAACTAAACGTGCAAAACAAAACAGCAGAGAAATAACCGCTTCCTTCCTCACAGGGGGGTTGTGCAGGGTTCCACGCCTCATCCTTCCTTCCTCAGGGAGCACAGACTTTTTTTTTCTTTTCTTTCTTTCTTTCTTTTTTTTTTTTTTTTTTTTGGTGGAGAATGTGCACATCTCACTCCTTCCAAAGCCTCCCAGCTGCTCCTATTTGTTTAAGTTTAACCTCAGTTGATCCACTGAAAACAAAATGGTCTAATCTGTCAATGCCAGGAGACATTTGCAGTTCTCTCAAGACCTCCTCAACAGCCCAGAAATCTGACACTACCAGCTCATGAGGCCAACCACTACTGTATACTCACCCAAGATATCAAACACCTCTGCCCTGGAGTGGCATAAATAATTGACTAAATCAGAATCCAACATCAGTATCACACCGGGACACCCAAGGAGCTCGCCCTTCGCGACCTCAGACCCATTAGAGATTTTCACAAACATCGGCAGGAGAGCTTAACCACCCTGCGCCCAGGACTAGCTCACATTCCTAAGCTAATATCCAATGTCGTTATCTCTATAAGTAGAACCAACGGTATAGATAACAAATGGTTCCCTAGTCTGCCGAAAGCTCCCAAGTCTTAGAACCCAAAGGATCAAGTTCAATTATTTTTACAGATGAGAAATCTACCTTGTCTAAGGTGGTGGGGGAGAAGACGTTAACCTAGGCTTTTTGGAACACCTGGCTCTAGTCCTGGCTGTGCTGCTCTTCAGCTGTGTGGCCTTGTCACTGATCTCACCCTATGGGGCTTGAGTATCTAAAATAAGTAGGATGGACTGCGAAGTCTTTAAAAATCCCTTTTATGTTACAATGGTGATGAGAATCCAAGTCTCCACGACACTGTGATGGCAAACTTCTCCCTCTAGTGGGTTGCTGCAGATCCCTGCCTGGGTGCTTCTCTTGCTACCACCTGCGTACACCCACTCTCCCTCACCAGCGTGCCTGCAGCTCAAGGCTCCTGGAAGCTCAATTCCATGACTGAATAGGGTCCTCGGGTGAGGAGGGGTACACTTTGATAAACACAATGCACGAAAATACAGTCTTCACTGCCCCAGGCACCATGCTGAAGTCCCACAATGCTCTTCCAAGACAGCCTTGCAGGAAGGATCCCAACAACCAGTTCTCATATTGAGCCCATCAGCCTAAGTTCTGAGCAGGGACATGGTTCCATTCACCCCACTTTCTCAAGACAAATGGTTCAGTCTCCACAGTCTGCTCAGCTTTTGGCAAGCCTGCTGAGGCTGCAAGGGGTAGCCAATTAGCTGCACTTTATGGCTCTGATTACTTATCCACAGGAGGCCAGAAGTATGAACTCTGGCATCTCCTTCCTCTACACTTGACTGCTTTGGGATTTTCATACCCCTAACTCACAAACTCTATACCCCAAAGGTCAGGTCTAGGGCACTAAACAAGCACTGAACAATTGGAATCACTGCTCTAGGGAAGAAGAAATGCGTACGTAAGAGTTCCATCCACCCTAACTCAGCCCCAGCAAGCCATGACTTTAGGACTCTGAATTCCACGTATGACAACTGGGCACCCGAACAGAGCTGACCCGTAGCATTGCAAAGTGGGGCTGGAGAGGATGACACGTGACTGTTTACTGGTGGTTCAGACCAATGGCACTACCTAAGACAGCCAGATGGGGAGAGTCAAAATTGCTACCTCTCAGACCATACCCACATGGCAGTTTCCTACAGATTCCTGCCCAAGGTGCCATTCCTCTGACTGCATCTGAATACAAAAAGACGACTTTGGTAACAGGAATGCGGGCTTCTATTTCTTCTTGTCAGCATCTAGCTCCTTATTTCACAATATTTTGGGGAGGGAGGGGAATCCAACAACAAAAGAGAAACACTGGAATCCAGAACTGGGAGTTAGCCTGGCTCACGCTGCCTGGGTGGACCTCGGAACCCAGGCCACAGAGAATGTTCTGACTGCTGCTGTGGGAGCTGACAATGAAGGCCCTGTCTAACAGCCACCCATTCATGCTAGCCATCAATGAAGAAAGAGAGACACATGCCAAGAGCTCAATACCAGACAGATGCCTGGGGAAGGAAGTGGGCAGAAAGAAAGAATGGAAAACTTATGGAAGGAGGAAATATGTGAAGAGGAAAAGTTTCTGAGGGCCATAATCCCATGAGGGAAAACACAATCTACCAATACTTTATAGAGTAAAAGAAATCATGGAAAGGAATTCTTATGATTACATGACTTACCCAGGCAATTCCCTAGGAAAGACACCTTGGTGCTTGAAAAGCTTGTCAAGATCGAAGATCCTCAGGATCTTAATAACCTAGTGTTCTCTTCCCCATAAAAAAACCATATCCAAGACTAAGCTAGATATCCTGGCAAATCAACAAGTAGGAAAAGAACTACTCAGTGGTCCCTTGTAAAGTCAGAATAGTATTAGGCCTCTCGGGGATGAGGTAGTAACAATATAATGTACTGGTCACAAGCCAGCTCTTGAGCAAATTCTTAACTTGTCTGCGCCCAGAACTCCTGTCCATAATTCTGGGATCCTGAGAGTGCCGACTTCATAGGATTGTTGTGAGAATTAAATTATATGTGTCAAGCAATTAGAACCACACCTGGCACATGTCAACTTTCAAGAGATGTTAACAATTACTATTCTCCACACAGGATCCACTATAAAGTGCTTCACTCACAGATGAGCCCACCAACTAGTCTGCTAGTTGGTGGGCTGCTCACAGGTTTGTCGGAAAGATCACCAAAGACAGCATCCATGACACGTACGAGTATCCATTGCCTTTGTTATCCTTACAACTCTTGACAGCAGAAGGCAGGGACAGAAGGTAATACAGTGAGAAGGCTGGAGTGAGAGATGGGCCCCAGAACTGTGGCTATGAATACCCATTCCACCAATAAGCAGGTACAAAATGTCTGCCTTCAAGGGGCACCCAAGATTTGAAGACACTGACCTCTCAATGGGCTTACCAGCTATCCGAAGAAACTAGCATACACAGAAATTACTAGAATTCAAGGCCAAAATTAATAGATGCCTTAAGAAAAGTATAAATCAGATGCCCAGTGAGCAGGAAGGAAAGTGTGATTACTTGGAACCAGCAGTCTCGGAAGAGGTAGCTTCTGAGTTGGCCGCTGAAGAAGTAAAGCCTTGACAGGCTTAGTGTTTAGTGGAAACACACTTAAAAAGCAGAACCACAAACCTTGTGCCTGGGCACTCATGGACTCTCGGACTCACAGAAAAGAATTGTCAGGCCTGAGGCTTTCTTTCCCTCTGACTGGGAATCACTGCACTGCCCCCTTGGAACCATACAGCTTCCAATCCTCCTCCCACACTGCCGTCAGCACTCCCCACAACCTGCCCTTGCAGGAGAGAAACAAGGGGCTAAGACACAGAGACAGCTGTTTCCTTACTCTCCCCGTAGATCAAGGCCAGCTGCTCGACTGAGCAGCACGCACCCGCATGCTAATTCCCAGCCCCTTCAACTTTCAATCTTTATTCACTCTGGGTGTTCATTTTCCTTTTACCCTGTGAGCTGCTGAAGCAAGGGGTCCTCCGTACTGCATTTTAATGCTGATGACGACGATCCACAGGGATCTCAAGGGCTTTTGAATAATAACATTTTAACATTTACACATTTTCAGTCACAGTTTCTGTTTAGATTAGGGCTAAAAACTGTGGTTTGTATGAGAACTTGCTAAGTCAAATCAACCCTCCAACCCAGAGAAGGTTACTCCAGTTACCCAGACTGTTCTGCTCTCTTTTTTCTGTAAGGCCTGGAACCCTCCAACTCTCTGGTCACTGCAGTGAGCACCAGAAACCACGTGTGTCCAGGAGAACTCCTACGTACACGGCTACTTGTGGAGAGTCCCCATGTTCTCCTCAGAAGGAAGGTGCTGACTAGGTTACGCAGACACTTGCTGGCAACTGTGATCTGATAAGACAAGAAGACCTAGAGTCCATTCTCTGGGGCATGGCGATCAGAAAAACAGAGACCTGAACTGGGTGATTCGGGAAGCCCAAGGTATAGTCCCGGCCCTGTGATTTCTTTCTCTCTGGTTCTAAAAAAAAAAAAAGAAAGAAAGAAAGAAAAGGAAAGCAAAGCAAAGCTGGGGTACATTCTCTAGGACTGAGATTTACTATGATTTGATTCCAATTAGGTAAACGAATCTTCCACTTCTACAGTGTTAAGAATGTGAAGAGCAGCAGGGCCCTGGATAAAAACGGTTCAAGCTCATGGCTAAGCAGGCTTTGGATTCAGCCAGACTAGGGCTTAAGACCCAGCTCTAACACCCAACTTCCTCATCTACTACACGGTGATAAAAATAGCCCCCACCCGGAAGATTTGTCATAAGATACACAATGACCTA